GGTAATGGCCCTAATCTATAATACCTTCTCTAAGCTGCTTGTTAGATGTGATTATTACTTTTAGCTAAACATGTGGATATTCAACTCTAAAACCTCTGCTGGAGCTAATCTTTAATTCTTCATGGATTTATGTCCACATGCTTTGTTCTCTCAGGCTTACTTAATTGCAACCCATAGTGAAACATGCCTCTCCTCATGCAAAACTTAAACTTGGACTGTGATATTTCACATGCCTTGATGTGTGTTTGAGCCTTAATGCTGGTAGAGCTTGCATTTAAAAGCAGATCAAAGTACATTTCTTTTTTTGGGTGAAGTTTGAGGTCTTCTGCCTCAATTGTGGCTGGAGATCACATCCTTCTGAGTACTTTACTTCTGAGCTCCTTTGGACAATAGTAGACCAGCTGTACCCAAAGCTTTGATGTTGTTACAAGACCTTTGCTACTGCCTACCAGACCCAGAGCTAACCTTTATTTAGTGATAGTGGCATTTTTCTCAGACAGTCCTATCAAGACTCCATTTTTTGATATTAACAGCAATTAACTCTCAGTTTAAATAGGCATAACTGTGACCTTGTCTACTCCTTTCAGCTGGAGAGATTGAATGGAGCTTTTCAGAAAAGATTTGAAGTGGCAAATGTTTAATTTTCAGGTTTAATGTTTGTAGTCCTTGGTCAGTAATTGGCAAGTGATAAAAGTTGTTCATTGGTGATCTTGTCAGTGGGTGATTTTTCAAATGTCCTTAGTTTGAGAAAAGGAGGAATTGCTTAGTTCATTTATGGGCTTATCTCTTTAATCTTGGTCTTAATGCCCACTGTCATTGATCTTTCTGTTGATGAATAAGAGAGAAGCAAGAGCAGTTGTAGTTTTGGACAGAAGCATTTAGATGGACTCTGTTTGAAAGTGATGCACTGGGATGTTAAACTTTACTGTATGCGTATAACTAAGTACTCATTCTTATCCATAAGCTGTTTTTGTTCCTTTAAATTCTGTGTATTTTGATTAACTTGTGTTTTGATAGCCCATTCTTAGTTATATGTTACTCTTCTTTGCATGTTTAATATATAATTATTTTTTAGCTTAGTTAATGAAGAAATGAGTTTTTAATTACAAGGAATATATTATGTTTTGAGGCCTACTTACTCTGATAAATCTATTTTTGTCTCTATTTTGTCCAGTCTAATCTCATTTGTGAAGAGCAATTTCGGAAACCATAGGGCAGAGCATTTATTTTTCTCCCATCTGCCTTCTCTCCCCTCAAGTAATCTCAGTATTGCTTGTCTTTGTTTATTATATCACTTGTAGGGTTGTGAGAAGTTTCGGAATAAACCTGAGTATTAAATTGCTATCTTTGGAGTAGATTGGTGTTCAGTGTTGTACTTCCTGTATCATCTTTAAATATTTAAATTGCAGACTCTCTGGCTGCCTCTTAAATTAGATCCTTCACTTAGTAGTTTTGACATTTCATAACCTTGCTCCTCAGGCATTAAATATTCACCTGTTTAAATGGCAGTGAAGATTTAAAATCCAAATGCAGCTATTATTCCAGTGAATGTAGACTGGAGAACAGCTTGCACTTGGTGAAAACGACAAATAAAACAACACACACTGCCATCAAGTTATCCGACTCATAGCGACCCCTCCTTGGTTTTCTGAGGCGGTATCACTATGCAAGTAGATTGCCCAACCTTCCTGTTATTTTGACCCGACTGGGAAGTGTCCTGGAGTTTCACTGTATTGAAGTATTTCTAATACAGAATTTGTCATAAAGTGAACAACACTTTCTCAGGCCTTCTCCAAAGGAAGTTAGTCTTGAAGAGCCATAAAGATTACTTGACACCTAGAGGCTGAAGATAGCCCCCACATGCGTTTTCCATGTGAGCATTAAAGCAGGATACCATGGAAGCTCCAAATTGATGGGATATTCAGAAAGAAGAATGGTTGCTGGTCACTGTCAGATCCACAAATTACGTCTGGAAATGGATTTGGATTTCCAAAGTGCAAGTCTTTATTCCACTGCAAACCTCCTTTTTGCTTTTGTCTAAGTGGCATTTTCTGTTTTAGTGCTTTGACATGGAAAAAGAAAGTTTTTTTGGGGGGGGATGGTGTTGATGACATTGACATCCTTAATGGAGCAGGGGAAGAGGGGCTGCTTTAATCCTGGGAAACAATAAAGTGCGAAGGGAAGGGTGAGATGTGGCACCTTGACCTGGGGTAAGGGCAGTTGCTTTTCCTTAAATCTTCATTTCCTGAAGGGGTAGTGAGGAGGGAATTGTCCTTTAATTATGGTCTAAGAACCAGAAAGTAAGAAAACTCATTTCAAAATCCTAATTATGATGTGCAGTTTCTCCAGTTAATCTCAATTATTGGCCACTCACCTACCCTTAGGAAAAGTTACTTTAAAAACAAGTAATAAAATGCAAATACACCGCCCTCTAGTAGGATCTGACTCATAGTGACCCCTCCTTGGGTTTCCGAGGTGGTATCACTATGGAAGTAGATTGCCCAAGTAATAGAAAGTAAAAAACGACGACAACAATAAAAAAAAAAAAAAAAAACCTCAAAACTTTTGGCTTAACTATAATTCTTATAGGATCTCTGGTAGCATAGTACCTAAGGCACTTGACTGCTAACCAGAAGGCTGGCGGTTCAAATCCACCAGCCACTCCTTGGAAGGAAGGTTGGGCAATCTACTTCCGTAGTGATACTGCCTCAGAAACCCAAGGAGGGGTCGCTATGAGTTGGGTCCGACTGGACGGCACGTAACAACAACAGCAGCATAATTCTTACAGCCATCCTGTTCTCTGCTGACTGACTGGTTTCACTGTGTGTGTGTGTTAAAGAAACAATCAAGATTCATTTAATTTTCCTAATCTCTCAGACCAAGTGAGCTGATCAGCAGTTGTTACAGTGTCTTATTGTGGAAAGAACACTGGATGAAGAGACAAGGTGGCAGAAGATCTGAGTTTGAATCCAGAATCCAGCACTAGTTGTGTGGAACCTTAGGTGTGTTGTTTGCTTCGTCTGTACCTATTTCTCCAGCTGTGAAATGAAGAGGCTACCTGCTTGAGCTTTCCTGTTGCATCAGTCACTGGAAGCAGCCTCCTTTGAGAACTTGTAGATGCTTACCTGGGAAGGGACTCTTCATATGGGAACACTTGAGTCACATAATCTGGAGCAGAACAGTAACTGAGTGGTTGAGAGCCACTGAAGTAAACAGTAAAATTCCAGATACCAGTGGGGTCTAAAGCCCTGATGATTTTAGTTTCCTCACATAATGGAGAATTGTGCTCTAAAAAAGAAAATATTTGTTTGTTCACATTGCAGAATGCATATATAATTCAGTGGTTTTATGTCACACCGAATGGCATAGTGGTTAAAGCATTTGGCTGCTAACCAAAAGTTCAGTAGTTTGAACCCACTAGTTGCTCCGTGGAAGAAAGATGAAACAGTCAGCTTCTGTAAAGACTAATAGCCTTGGAAACCATAGGGGGAAGTTCTACTCTGTCCTATTCTGTCCTCAACTACTATGAGTTGAGTTTTGGTTTTGAGATGTCACATCAGTTCATAACACTCCCAAGACTAGATTCCCTTTAAATGGTTTTGGTGATCACCAGAAATTTTCTTTCATTTTTTTTTTTTTCACTTACTTTTAAATTCCCCAATTTTGATTGCCCTTACGTTTGAGGCACGAAGGAGCAGTGGTGGTGGTGGGGGAGTCGTCTGTGAATAGTTCTTTCCAACACTTTTTCAAATTCCTTGTTTCTGTAGGACAGGACAGTGCTAATGTCACTTCCAAATAAAAAGTTTGAAACAGCAGTCATATTTTCAAGATGAGGTATATAATGCAATTTCTGTCTTTGCAGCTGGCTAATCCGGAAGCTTTTATAGTTCAACGAAGGGAATGTGGTCTGGGAGAGCTCATGGGACTTAGAGTTACCTAAAAATTGGCAGAGATAAGTTACAGCCAAAGAGTTATTGATTACAAACAGAGCAAGAAATCTAGATGACTTAGTGAACCTGTCCCTTAAATGCTGTGCTCCAGTAAGTCTATTCAATAGGATTTATTCAGCAAATATTCCAGCATCTATCACATACTGCACATTGTGTAGACTGAAGATACAGTGATGAATGAGATAGAATCCTCTCATAGAGCTTATTACTAGAAAAATGATTATAAACAAACACAGATTTATTTTGTCTTCTGTGCTTATGGAATTGTGGATACTGTATCTGAAAAGACAAGAAGCTTAGAAGGGGTATATAAAATAACAGGTAAAGCAAATAAAAGGACTTAAGACCTTTTCTAAATCAAGGCTAAAAAGGTGTGTGTAGACAAGAAGACGATAGACAAAGGATTATAGGGGCTGTAACTCATTCACATATTTAAGTTTCTGGGAAGTTGTGGAAACTACAAAATTGCTTGGAACAGATCAAAGAGGTGGACTTACATTTTTTCAGACATGTGGTATTACCACCCTTAGAGATGGGAGAGGTTACAAAACAGGTCACAGTAATGTTTCTGATGAATTTAGATTTGTTAAACTTACAATTAAGAATAAAGGCCTGGAGATCTGCTTCTGAAAATCAGCCACCAAAAACCTTGTGGATCGCAATGGTCTGATCCCATTGTGCATGGGGCCACCATGAGTCCTGGGCCAACTCCACAGCAGCTAACAGCAAAAACAAAGCTTAGAAGGATTGAGCCAGAATTCGTAATGTGGGGGGTTAGTTGAAAACAACTAATGCTAAGAGTAGATTGTGCCGTAAGCACTGCTGGTCTGTTATGAGAAATTATAATCATTGAGAGGTCAATACTTTTTCCTCTCCACCTGGGGAATACCATTTCCCATTTGCCTTGAATTTCACCCAAAATGAGTAAAGAAGTGAGAGCAAGACTTGCCTCAACTTCAGTAACTGCTTGTTACTAACTTAGACAGTCCTTGAGTTTCTGAATGAAGGTGACTTAGTGCATATGTGTCTAATTTTATTTCCCTTTTCTAGGTTTCCTATGCTCGCCCAAGTTCAGCTTCTATCAGAGATGCAAATCTGTATGTCAGTGGACTTCCGAAGACAATGACCCAGAAGGAGTTGGAACAGCTTTTTTCACAATATGGACGCATTATTACTTCCCGTATTCTTGTTGACCAGGTCACTGGTAAGTACACAGCTGCTCAAGATGGTCCTTCACACTCTTCCATTGGCAGCTTGTAAAATATTCTCCTTTCCAATACAATAGCCTTGCCTCTAGAACACATCAAAGGTGTATGTGGGCCAGAAAATGCAATTTTCTGCTGGAATTGTTCATAAATATGCATGGACAAAAATAGATTGTGGAGTGCAGTGAGTGAGCTTGAGTCATTTCCACCCTCAAGCTGCAGGTTTGAAGCCTGTTTCATGGCTTGTAATAAATTTACAGATGCTATAATCTTCATTTCCAAGCCGCTGCACAAAAATAGCCCCCATCTTCCTTATAAAGTACCAATAAACAATCTTACTTTTGTAAAAAAGCAGAGTTTAACACAGCAATAGGCAGCTGGTTCTCTAAGGGAGGATTACACTATATCCAAACTGGTAATTGCTGTTAAGGCTGTTTCCCAGGTCCTTGCTGTGATGTCTAGACATGTGTAAGAATATGAAATTTTGAATGTTAAAAATTTATTTTATGCCTAATGTAACTTTTAACAAAACTGGAATGAAAAGACTAAATGAGTATTAAAAATTTTGCATATAAGGGATGATATAAGCTAGCAATATAGATTTGAATATGGATCCTAAAAATGAAGTACAGGTTTTTGTTTTTGTTTTTTTTTTTAAAGTATGAAAGCAATGCAAGTTCATTTTAAAGCATTTAGAAAATATAGTAACATGCAAGGAGGAAAAAAATATCACCTGTAGAGCAACTACTTTTTAAGATTTTGTGGGATTTTAAAAATAGGTAGTTTTTCTTCTTTTTGTGTTTTTCTCTCTTTCCCTTCTTTTTCTGTCTCTTCCCTCATTCCCTCTCCTTCCCCTTCTTGCTTTTTTTCTTGTAATGTCACTGGAGATAAACTGCATATTATAATATCTGAAAGTTTATTTTAAAGAAAGCAGTGGAATAACCACAGAATAAAAAGTCAGGCTAAGTTTTTAATTCTTCAGGTGAAAATAGTTGACCTGATTTGAATTTAATCAGAAGTAGCCCTTCTGTTCTGTTAATTGGCTTCATAGGAAAAACCACCCCTAGAGTTCTGGGTAGAGAGACCTACCACTATAGACATGCTTGTGAGACTGGCCAGTGGGCTTTGCTGTAGAGAAATTTAGGAAAGTGAGAGTTTACAAAACAGGGTTTTTCTTCTTCCTAATCCTTCTTAAACAAGGTGTCACAATCCAGATAAATTGTTTTAAAGCAACAGCAATGCCATTTGATTTTGTCTATATCCTTTGAACTTCAACTATTCTTTTTTAATGAGAATTTGGTAAAGTGAGAGTGAATTTCACCTGTAATATAGAAAGCCCATCTCTTAACTGAAAATCTGCCCTTGGTGCATAGCTTCAGAGTGGACTTAGCATACCACCTTGTGAGTTAGTGGTTCTCAGATGTGGTCCTGGAGCATCAGCATCATCCTGGAACCTTGCTAGAAAGGCAAATTCTTGGGCCCCCTCCCCAGACCTACTGAATAAAACTCTAGGGGTGGGATGTTTTACCAAGCCCTTCAGGTTGTTCTGATGCATACTCAAGTTTGAGAACCATTGGTTTAGGTTACTAGCCTGTACAGAGGCCAGCCAGTTCATTGCTAATCTCCTCACTCACTGCCGTGAAGTCAGATCTGACTCATAGCAACCTCTCCTTGGGTTTCCGAGGCAGTATCACCATGTAAGTAGATTGCCCAAACTTCCTTCCAAGGAATGGCCTTCCTAATGGAACAGCTGTGTCCCATGGGTTAGTCTTAATAGGAGGTAGTAGATAACTGAAAAGATATATTTCCTGTCATTCCACTGTTTTGTCTTTATACTCATGGCTTTCAAAATGAATGTATTCCCTTTACCTGAAATTAAAAAATATAACCCTGCAATTTTGTTATTCAGCCATCAGGTGGTAATAATATGCAATGGATGTAGTTGAAATAAGATAAACTGATAGGGGTGTGTGTGTCTGAGATAAGCATATATGGAATAAATTCCTTATCTACCTTAGATCAAAATTCTAAGCTGTTAAGTGTTAATGGTAAAGCAAGTAGACTGCCATTTCTTTTTAAAGTTCCTATAAATCATATTAGGAGCTCTGGTAGCATACTGCCTAAGGCATTTGACTGCTAACCAGTTCAAACCCACCAGCCATTCCTTGAAAGGAAGACTGGGCAACCTACTTCCTTAGAGATGTCGCCTCGGAAACCCAGGGAGGGTTCACTGTGAGTCAGAAATGACTTGAGGGCAGTGAGGTGTTTTTTTTTTTTTGATAAATCATGTAGGTTGCGTAGTTTTTCTAAGCGTACCACCTTCTCAGTAACTCCTCGTTTTCTTCTTAACTGACGTACTCTGAGTCTCTAGTCCTTTCTAGCTGCTAGTCCCAAAGTGGTGCCACTAGTACCAATTTTCTTGCAAAGAAAATGTCTCCTTACAACTGGCCACCTCAGCTTGTCTGTTTAAGTTGATTAAATGTAACATGTTGGGTTTACTGCTAACATTTCTTACAAGCTAGAAAGACTGTTGACCACCCTTGTGCTTCCGCATTCCATGTGAGGCAGTGAGTGGCATTCGCATTCCGCAGTCAGGAGTACTGCTGCTGAGGCCAGGAGTCTTTAATGCTTTTTTATTTTATATATATATATATACACACACATATATATATATATACACACACACACATATATATATATATATACACACATACATTTAAAATAAACCTAAGTATTAGTTTAGGAGCTAGGAGCTCTGGTAGCATAGTGCCTAAGGCACTTGACTGCTAACCAGAAGGCTGGCAGTTCAAACCCACCAGCCACTCCTCGGAAGGAAGATGGGGCACTCTACTTCCATAGTGATCCTGCCTTGGAAACCTAAGGAGGGGTCACTATGAGTCGGGTCTGACTCGACGGCACGTAACAACAACAAGTGTTAGTTTACCTATTCCTCCCTATATACCGTTTCCTCACTTATCAACGTGGTTAGGTCCCAAAGACCCAGGTAGTTATGCAAAATTGGCATTATGTAGAAATGGAAAATGACCATATCAGATCACAGAATGATGATTATGTCATTACATAACTCCCAAATTACAACATTATATAACTGCCAAACCATTGGGAGTCATGGCTCAGCCAAGTTGACATATAACCTTAACCATCACAGCCAGTGTCATTCTCACCTTGTACCTCTGCATTCGTTACTAAAAAATACTCAGATAATAGATTTTTTTCCCACTATTTTCTTAAATGTGAAATGCCAGGTAAGGAGATAGTTCGTAAGTGAAAAGAAGTTGTAATATACTTCTTACACACTATAGCTAGCTACAAGGAGTAGAGGAGCTTTAGGGGACTTGAAAAGAAAAGGCTTTTCGGACATTTCCCTTAAAGGGCCTGTATCCTATACAATAATATTAAGCTGAATTTATTATTTAAAATTTTAACTGAAGTATGTCTTTCTACCCTAGTGTATGCATTGTTTTAGCACAGATTTTTAGCCTTCTTAGCAAATGCCTGGTCCTCTTCTCCCCGTTACAAGGAAGAGGGCTACTGTGCCCCTTGTTTCTGAGCTGTTTGTTCAGCAGAACATTTTGAAAAGCAGAACTTAGACATGTTGTTGGAGAGAGTTAATGAGAGAGCAAAAGAGAGAGGGAAAAAAAACTTAAATGTGAACAAGAACAGAGACACGCTTGTGTACTTTCTCATCTCATCCAGTATGGTTGGCTTAGTGGTAGGCGTGATAATGGGTACTCAAATTATATAGGTGACTTCATGAATTAGAAAATAAAACAAAATTGTGATTCTAGTCACAATTGCTAGTAAGTTAAGATAAACTTTCCTCCCAGTGTACCATTTTGGCAAATGTTATGTGTGGGTGAAAGCATGTTCTTGGGAAGGAAAAATTAATTTATCCTTTCTTTTCTCCCCCCCCCTTTTTTTCTCAAATCCTTACCCAAATCTATCATAGGCATATCAAGGGGTGTAGGGTTTATTCGATTTGACAAGCGGATTGAGGCAGAAGAAGCTATCAAAGGCCTAAATGGCCAGAAACCTCCTGGTGCCACAGAGCCAATCACTGTAAAGTTTGCTAATAATCCAAGCCAAAAAACCAATCAGGCCATCCTTTCCCAGCTGTACCAGTCTCCAAACAGAAGGTATCCAGGACCGCTAGCTCAGCAGGCACAGCGTTTTAGGTAAGTCTGGTCTAGTTCTTGCGCCCAGCTGTTAAGCTCAGAGAGAACTCTCAGCAGCTCACTGCCCAGTACTTTGACAAATTCTTGTAGGATTTCTGGTTTCCTTTCTTAAATTATTACTATATTACTTGTATATATTTTTGTGGGCACAGAGAAAACCTGCTTGGGAAATAACATGAAGGTGGGAACAAAAGGACAATAATTTATAGCAGTGATTCTCAGGTAGAGGTGATTTTGCTCCTAGGGTACTGTTAACAATGCCTGGAATCCTTTAGGTTGGCGTAACACGGGTGAGGTGCTACTGGCATATAGGAAGTAGAGAGCACAAATGCTTCTAAACATCCTACATTGTGCAAAATAGCTTCCAACACCAACACATTATCCATTTGAAAACCATCAATAGTACTGAGATTGATAAACTCTGACCTGCAGAGTGCTGGGGTAATCCTAACTGTCTCTGGTACATCCAGTTTCCCCTTTTTATTTTTTCTTCATAAAAGTTTATTCTTATGTTTTACTTTGCAGGTCAAACTCTTGCAGTTACTTTGTTTTATAACACATGAGCCACTAAACATATATAACCTCTGGAAATATATTAAGTTTCTACAAATAGACCCCTCTCTACTTTTTAAATCTTTATTGCTTATAGTCCAGCAGACTTTCTCTGCAAAGGGCCAGATGGTAAATATGCTAGGTTTTGTGGACCATGGACTCTGATCCATATTTGTCTTTTTTTTTGTTTTTGAATGATGTTGTAGTGAATGATGCAGGAAGCAGCAAAATTCTTAGCTTTTGGGCTATAAAGAAGAAGGTGGCAGTCTAGACTTGACCTGTGTGTGGCGTTTGAAACCCTTGTTTAGTCTATGGAATGGTTCGGTGCCTATTTAGTCCAAAGGTGATGCTCTAACTCGTTGGCAGGTATAAATATTCCAACTCTTCAAGCTTTATTCTAATCCTCGGGTAATAACCAAATCAAGAGTCTCTTTTAAAAAATCTCTAGCCAGTATGTGAAAAGAACAGTGATTTTAAGAAGAAAACAGAGCAGAACACAGAGCTTCTGGTTTCATAAGTCAGTCCCTCTGTTTTTATTTTCCAGGACATTTTAAAATACCCTTTTGGCCATGTGGTATAGTGCAGCCATAATGTCGCTTAACCCTCATGCTATTTTTAAAATTATTAATACAAGCTCATACATAACACTTTTATTTAATTTTGGGGCAGAATAGTTACAGAAAATATAATCACAAACTTAACCTGGTAAGATTGAGGCATTAAAAACTTTTCTACCTTAAATCACATGCTTTTTCCCCACTGGGATATTTAGAGTACTGAGCAGAGCCAGGGTAAAATCAGTCAAACTCTCCTTTTATAATATACTCAATGATGTTACTTGAGGTATGAAAAAAGAAAGATGATTTGCCATAAATACCATGCAGATTTCCTATTTAAGTTGATGTCTGCCCTGGTAGCAGAGGTGGTACTGTCAAAGGACTGCATTTTGAACCAATCACTGGGTGCCCGACTGACTGACAGTTGTGCTCACTTGACTCTGCTTTGACTTGGCAGGAACAAAGCATTGGTAGAAGAGAAACTTCCACTGTTGACTTTGGTTGATGTTAGTGGAGATCTGGTTGGAAGAATTTATACTTGAGGGAGATAGGTACTTGATGCTTTCCCTTACAGAGAAGAGAAAACCCATAAAGTACTGTCTTTAACTCTGCTGGTATGTTTCCTCTGTGACTTTTTTTTTTTTTTTTTTTTAAAGGAAATGATAATATTTTTTTGCATGTTCTAGACAAACAGTCCTAGAAGAATTCTACATGGGCTTCCCAGGTAGCCTGCCTAGTTACCTTCAGAGCTCTTTGGGGCCTAGAAAAGAATGTTGAGCCTAAAGGAAAATTCTTTAAAACATATTGGGTGGATTTTATCATTGAAAAAAAAAGGGACCAGGATTGCTGGTCTGATAGAGCCTGGTAGAACCCCTGAGAGACTACGGCCCCTAGCTGCACTTCAGGTCTGGGATTGAAGCCACTCCTGTGGCTTCCAGCCAAACAAAAGACAGGCATATGAGCTGAACATTTACATTAGGTAGATACGCTCTTTGGAGAGATCAATCATGGAAGAATAATAGAAGGGCTGTGTATGTACAGGGAGACAGCTTGGGGGCAGGTGTGCATGGGAGGGAAGACACAGGGAGGAGGTAGCTATGAGGAGGAAGTGGGAGAAGAGCTGTTGCATTGTGGGAGATTGCAGTCAATGTTATGAGACAAAGTGTATATGAAGTACTATATGGAAGATGAATTTGCTCTGTAAACTTTCACCCAAATCACAATACAAATTGGAGAAAAAAGATATTGGATGAATTTTAACACTGGATATATACAATGTTTGGTGTGTGGTGGTGTTAATGTGTGCCATTGATTCTGACGATAGCAACCCTATATAACAGAGTAGAGCTGCCTTATAGGCTTTCCTAGGTAGCCAGGTCTTTTCTCCTATGGAGTGGCTGGTGGATTTGAACCACGAACCTTTCGGATAGCAGTTGAATGTTTAACCATTGGTCCACCAGGACTCCTTAATAGCTATATTGATGAATTTTTAGTTATTTTTTGGTGTTTTCTGATGTGATTTAGTTTTTTTTTTTTGTTTTATGGTAGTTATTAAATAAAACAGTGTTATTAGAAACAAGACTGAATTCTGAGGAAGATTGGGTCAGGAGAATACCTGCTCGTTAAGACGGCAAGGCACTTGGGTGAATCAAGAGTTGGGATTGACTTCTGTTATCTGCTCTCTCCAGCATCTACCTTTCTTCCCTCCCACATGCTCTGTACCTTTTATTTTTGGTTGGGAAAAGTTTACAGGATGTTCTGTGGGCCAGATTTAATATCTTTTTTAATATCTTGTATCCATTCTGTGCTTTTGTCTCGTGGTACCATATGTTACCATTAACTTAGAAGTTCTTCTTTTCCTTGACTCCTTTAGAAAGAAGTTTTGGGAATAAGGGTATAAGAGTCATCTAGTTGTAAGGGCCTCCTGCGTCTGGTTTCAGTAAATAGACATTTTTATTTTTGTTTTCCCTTTAGAGTTCTACCTTTTATCTGTACCACCCCACTTCCTGTTCCATCTACAGCCTGTGACTAATAAAATATGAACTGGTTAGAGGGATCAGTGAAGACATTTTCTCTAGATTGGTTGTTTCAGGTGTCTTAAAGAAATTGAGATGTTTTTCTTAGAGCTCACATTTAACTCGTGCATTTGGTTGCTTTTCTTTAATATCTTTAACTTGACTGTCATTAACTTGATTTTTTTTTTTTTTTTCTCTCATTCTGCTGAGTTAAGGCTGAACCTTCTTTCACCCCATAAAAACTCATGGATTAAAGACTAGCTTGTTTTGTTGGTATTTTGCTCTTTTCTGTAGTTCAGGTCTAGATCCTTATGCAAAATTTTGTCCCTCATTGTCTGTATCTTAATGATACTTAACCTTGAGTTTGTCACTTTCTAGTAAGCCCTTAGAAAGTTTCTCACTGTGTGCTTTGATGTTGTCGTAGTGCCTTGGGAATTAAAAGGGATTAGAGAATATAAATTATCAGTATTATAATAATAGTCAAAGATACTTTTAATATTCATGAAGTGCACCATATCTTTTAAGGTCAAAATATTAAAGTCCATGTAATAATAAGTTTAAAAATGGGCTTGTAAAGTTTAAAGCTCAGTAAACCCATGTGAATAGTTAGAAAAAGAATTCTTTTAACATGAGCAGTGCTGATCTAATATGCTTATTTAATTGACTACAGTTTTCAGAATAAGTCAAGCTATATTTATTTGAATAGATAGTATATTAAATACATTCTTGGGGCATGGTATCTGAATTAAATTTTCAGCCAGATATTTTCACGTTCTCTTTTTGTGGAGCAGCTTTAATTTTATTCGGTGTGATCTAGTCTAATGGCCTCTGTGCCTGCATCTAGGAGCCTTTATGCATTTTTAAAGGTGCCTTTAAATCAGCACTTGTGTAGCATTTAAGGCATATGCTGACTGCATTACCACAATTTCCTTTTGGAGGAAAATGGCATCAATCTAACTGAATAATTTTTCTCTCTTTTATAGGACAGATGATATTATCTAATTGGATGAGGTTAAGTTGAGAATCTTGTTATGATTAACTTCAAAGCAGGTCTTTGTCCCTGTTTTGGAGAGTTTTTAAGAATCATTGTTTACAGGAGTCAGTGTTGTATTTTCTTATCCTTTAGTAGCATATCTTTGTATTTTTGTGTCTAACTTTAATTGATTTTACACTTCGTATTTTACTTGCATATGGGACCTCCCATGGTCTGGCATTTAAACTTCTTGAAAATTAGACAGCTTCTTTCTATTTTATATGTAGAAATATCATACCTTTGAAATTAGAAAGCTTTACTTAATACAGGTTCTTTTCAACATATTGCCTGTTGTTGTTGTTGTTATGTGCTGTCGAGTCGGCCCCGACTCATAGCGACCCCTCCTTGGGTTTCCGAGGCAGTTTGAACCGCCAGCCGTCTGGTTAGCAGGCAAGTGTCTTAGCCACTATGCTACCAGAGCTCCATTTATACAGAAACATACCCATACCCCAGTGTGTGTGTGTATCTATGTATTTATGTTTGTCATACTTTTGTGTCTTATGTGTTAACACTGTGGCTGGAAGTGTGGTTCACCACTGTTTCAAATACTGGAAGAGTCACCCATGGTGGACAGGTTTCGGTGAAGCCACCAGACTAAGACAGATGAGGAAAGGATTTGGCAGTATATTTCTAAAAAGACTGGCCAGTGAAAACCTTATGAATAGTAGTGAAATGCTGTCAGATATAGTGCCAGAACATGAGCCCCGCAGGTGGGAAGACACTCAAAATGTGACTGGGCAAACTGCCTCCTTAGAGTCAGCCTTAATGATGTGGTTAGAGACCTTCATTTGCTGTTGTGGAATGACTCAAAATGAGAAGAAACAGCTGCAGACATCCCTTAAT